CATATATAGAACTGTTTGAGGTCATTATTTTATCCTGTTTTAAAGCTGGTATGGTTTTGTAATTATGAACTGTCAACAAATATCTCCGTTTCAGAGACTCTCCCCTATCCCCTCCTCTATCCCCTCCCCTATAAAACAGTTGTTGCTCTATTTGTCTGGTTGATTAAAGACTTGCTAACTTCTCATTTGTATTTGATCTGTATGCTTTTTACAGGACAATGTGAAAGTGGCATTAATTGTCGTCTTTTCTTTAAGGCCTGCCACCAGACATAGGCATGTCACCAGACAAATGTGTTGTTACCAGACATAGGCATGTCACCAGACACATGTGTTGTTACCAGACATCACCAGACACAGGCATGTCACCAGTGTGTATCAGGTGTGTCACCAGACACAGGACACATGTGTGGCATGTCACCAGGTGTGTTACCAGACACAGACATGTCACCAGGTGTGTCAGCAGACACTGGCATGTCACCATGTGTGTTACCAGACACAGGCATGTCACCAGGTGTGTCACCAGACACAGGCATGTCACCAGGTGTGTCACCAGACACAGGCATGTCACCATACACAGGTGTGTCATCAGACATTTGCTATATATATATTACAAAACATAGACTTTTCACCAGATTCTAGCTCATGTGTTTCCAGACAAAGGCTTATTACCAGACATCTGGTTATTTATCACATGACACAGACTTATTTATCATACAAGCTTATTACAAAACAGTCTTCTGCAATTATCAGGCATAGGAAAGTTTATTATTATACAAAGGCTTATTAGTAGAAGTAAGCATCGGACAACAGCATATTGCAAAATATAGGCTTATAAGTAGATAGAAGCATCAGACACAAGCTTATTATCAAACACACAATTGACTAGACATGGGCTTATTACCAGACATGTTTGTGGTATGAATTTGATGTCAGGGTAAACTTATTGTCGAGTTAATATGGTAAGGTGGTACATCAGTTAATAAAAGCTTAAAATATCTGCCCTACCTTGTATAGCCATGAGACATGTTGTCTTGTCATGTGCTTTTCAGTAAAATATGATATCGTGACAAATGTCACAGACAGGTGACAAATGTTTCATACATATGTGTGGGAAAAGTGAAGGTTGGCACTAGATTCTATGCCTCCACATGGTCAGGACATGTAATGTTACCATTGTCTCTCATTTCATCCTGATTTTGAATTGTTTCTGCTCATTAACACTTTCAACAGATAAAGACAGTCCTGTGATTTTTATTAGTTCTCTGTTAATTGAAGTTCTTATTTGGTTATGGTCAATTAATCTTTTCCAGAGCTACAGCCCTTCAATTTTTTAAATTTCATTCAGAATTTTTTGCAAAATGATGAGAGCAACATTGGATAGTCTTGAAGATAAAAAAAGAAGGAAATTATTCAGACAGGACTTAAGTTTATTTCATAAGTCCATCTTTTAACGCAGCTAACAAAACAAAATAGTTCCAAACTTCTTCTGGTGGGAATATTCCTGTTCCTGGTGGGGGTTAATTTATGTTGCTTATGGAGGTATTCAGGTTGTTGGGGGAGTATCCATGTTGATAGTGGGGGTATTCAGGTTGTTGGGGGGAGTATCCATGTTGATAGTGGGGGTATTCAGGTTGTTGGGGGAGTATCCATATTGATAGTGGGGGTATTCAGGTTGTTGGGGGAGTATCCATGTTGATAGTGGAGGTATACAGGTTGTTGGGGGAGTATCCATGTTGATAGTGGGGGTATTCAGGTTGTTGGGGGAGTATCCATGTTGATAGTGGAGGTATACAGGTTGTTGGGGGAGTATCCATGTTGATAGTGGAGGTATACAGGTTGTTGGGGGAGTATCCATGTTGATAGTGGAGGTATACAGGTTGTTGGGGGAGTATCCATGTTGATAGTGGGGGTATTCAGGTTGTTGGGGGAGTATCCATGTTGGAGGTATTCAGGTTGTTGGGGGAGTATCCATGTTGATAGTGGGGGTATTCAGATTGTTGGGGGAGTATCCATGTTGATAGTGGGGGTATTCAGGGTGTTGGGGGAGTATCCATGTTGATAGTGGAGGTATACAGGTTGTTGGGGGAGTATCCATGTTGATAGTGGGGGTATTCAGGTTGTTGGGGGAGTATCCATGTTGATAGTGGAGGTATACAGGGTGTTGGGGGAGTATCCATGTTGATAGTGGAGGTATACAGGTTGTTGGGGGAGTATCCATGTTGATAGTGGAGGTATACATGTTGTTGGGGGAGTATCCATGTTGATAGTGGAGGTATACAGGTTGTTGGGGGAGTATCCATGTTGATAGTGGAGGTATACAGGTTGTTGGGGGAGTATCCATGTTGATAGTGGAGGTATACAGGTTGTTGGGGGAGTATCCATGTTGATAGTGGAGGTATACAGGTTGTTGGGGGAGTATCCATGTTGATAGTGGGGGTATTCAGGTTGTTGGGGGAGTATCCATGTTGATAGAGGGGGTATTCAGGGTGTTGGGGGAGTATCCATGTTGATAGTGGGGGTATTCAGATTGTTGGGGGAGTATCCATGTTGATAGTGGGGGTATTCAGGTTGTTGGGGGAGTATCCATGTTGATAGTGGAGGTATACAGGTTGTTGGGGGAGTACCCATGTTGATAGTGGGGGTATTCAGGTTGTTGGGGGAGTATCCATGTTGATAGTGGAGGTATACAGGTTGTTGGGGGAGTATCCATGTTGATAGTGGAGGTATACAGGTTGTTGGGGGAGTATCCATGTTGATAGTGGAGGTATACAGGTTGTTGGGGGAGTATCCATGTTGATAGTGGGGGTATTCAGATTGTTGGGGGAGTATCCATGTTGATAGTGGGGGTATTCAGGTTGTTGGGGGAGTATCCATGTTGATAGTGGAGGTATACAGGTTGTTGGGGGAGTATCCATGTTGATAGTGGGGGTATTCAGGTTGTTGGGGGAGTATCCATGTTGATAGTGGAGGTATACAGGTTGTTGGGGGAGTATCCATGTTGATAGTGGATGTATACATGTTGTTGGGGGAGTATCCATGTTGATAGTGGAGGTATACAGGTTGTTGGGGGAGTATCCATGTTGATAGTGGAGGTATACAGGTTGTTGGGGGAGTATCCATGTTGATAGTGGGGGTATTCAGGGTGTTGGGGGAGTATCCATGTTGATAGTGGTGGTATTCAGGTTGTTGGGGGAGTATTCATGTTGATAGTGGGGGTATTCAGGGTGTTGGGGGAGTATTCATGTTGATAGTGGGGGTATTCAGGTTGCTAGAGAAGGGGGAGGCATTCCTGATGTTTGTTGGGATATTCATTTGTGTCTGTCAACACAGTTTATTGTTCTTCATATAAATTAACAACATCTTGTTTCATAATGGACTAGGGAAACCTACGAATCATTTCAAATGTACTTAAGACATGCCTGTAAAACAAGAACCCAGAGGAATGAGCTTTCCTATGCCTCCCAAACCTGGCACATCCTTAAATGACTCTGGCTGTAACTTTAAGTTAATTTTTCTTTTTATTCACAAGTCAAGAATTGAAAGTAAATGATTTTTGTATTAATAAAATGAAAAATTGGCTTAAAATATTTACAATTAGTTGTGACAAAAAGTGCTTTATGATGTTTTTCTTCTCCCAAGACATCGATATCTATACATAGTATTTCTAGTCATTATGTTTTACATGTACACATTTTTTATCATTTTTACTGTACTCTTGTCTTATTGTTTCCCATTTACCCCTGATGATATAATTATTTATAAATGTTTCATTTCATATCCTAAAAGTATGTAATTTCTACACAGTACTTGGCCTTACATCCTTCTTCCATTATGACCATTGTAAATTATATTACTTGGTGGCATTTCCTTGACATTCACATTTTCTATTCATTCAATGACATTCATGTCTTTTCCATGCATATTTCAAAGTCATGAACATTTTCACATCTCCAAAAAATGTTTGTTTTTTTCATCTGTAAAATAAATGTTGCTGATCAAGAGTATTTTGCTTCATACTTAGGAGTTAGTTTTATTAATTGGAAACGAAAAGTGCTTCACTTATTTTTTGCAGAGACAGATATTATTGGAAATATATGAAACTTAAGATACAACAGAAATTGTGACATTAGTTAAACATGGTAATATTTTCTATCCAGTAGTTGTTCTTGTTTTACATCTTGACAAGAGAAAGACTTGTTTTGGAAAATAACATTTTTGCTTAAGCTACGTTCATTCAGTTTGTACATCTTTCTTTAGTATTCATATCAACTTTATTGTGTGTCGATTAATTATTTATTTGTTTTTTGGTTTCATTTTTAACACTCAATTGGGCCATGGATATTTTATTCCGAGAATCCTGCCTGACTCAGGTTGTATATGATAGCATGTTTTGTAAGAATGGTTAAAGTAATGTTTCATTTTAGATCCCATTGAATTGTGACTATGCCATCACCTACTAGGTGTGAACATGTATGTTTATAGATGTAAACTAGATATGTACTAATATACAGACTTATAGTACTATAACAAAAGCTGCAGATTATAATTCACTAATTTGTAACTAACTTCCATGAACACACATCGCCTTGAATTAAATCATCTGTGATTTGGATTAAAGGGTATATATGTGTATATCCATGTATAGGGATATAGGTTTTAGTAGACTGATAAAACAGCCTACATCTGTATATCTATTCAATTTTTGTAATAAAATATTGACAACTAATCAATTTTTTATTTTCTTTGTAAAAAGAATGAAGTATCACAATCATGTGGTTTCTTAAATTTAGATTTACTTGGATTTATTATAATTTCAACTTATTAATATTATTAATAATACTATTTTAATGAAATTTGCTGTAGTATAATTTTCATGTTTTTAAATCTATGTTTGAGAAATTGCCAAATACTGATCTTATCAGGGTTGTGTACATTCTTGTATTTATGCTGAAAACATTTCTTTTGAAAAATAGAAATAAAGGAAGTACATGTATGTAGACTACAATTTAAGTACAAATATATTTATACAAGTCAACCAAACGGAGACAAATTGACACCTTCATTGTAGCCCTGCATGACTGCATGACATGGTTAGATTACCAAATAAAGTATTTTCACAAAATTATCACAACACATTGGCACTCATTTACACTCAAGGAAGCTATCCGTTTTCTATACACTTGAAGACTTATGTGTAGATAGTACTGTAGATTTTTTGTCACTCTCAACACCGGCAGAAACTAATTGTTCTGAGAGAAAGTGTTAATTACGGCGGTTGGAAACCGGAGTCTCACAAATATATCTTTGCGATTCAGTGCACTCGCGATCATTCCACCGGAACTGGAACTTCATCAGAAGTTCAAGACAATCTTGTCCAGCGCGGACATCGTTTGGTTGGTCCGGGCCCCAATCCGTGTACGTTATTAAACTACCGTCGCCGATCCATTCCCATGTATTTTCCTCAAAACGATCGTGTCCGCCAATCCAAAACGTGTCGCCTGGTAAAATGGATCAAAACACTCACCAGCCTAATTTCAACGATACATAAAAATTATGCTAAATAAACCACGAAAATGGTAAGAAGATCAAACACATCTATATCCTTAAACTCCAGAAAAGGTGGGAATAATGTTTGTAATGCGTAAATGTCGAGGTGTAATTGTCTCTGTTAGACCTATCTACATATATTTCAGGCTGAGATGACGATAGAAAGGAAATAATCCATGGTTTATTTACACATATATGTCAAATTTATTCGATATTCAAATGTTCTAATATAACGATTTATATGTAAATGGTACTGACAACTACAATTATATAGTAGGGTGTCGAGCCGAAATGCAGATTGATAAAGAATATGGAGAAGTTTTTGATTGCTGTGGTAACTTAAAACATATTATTGCATTTCTTTGCGTAAAATGTAGTCATTGTGTTCAATGTTGCTACAAAAAGCATTGAAAAAAAGAAAGATTTACACAGAGACTAATGAAAAACTACAAGGAGAATAAGACCAGGTGATTCGGAAGTGTAAGCGTCTTCTACTTCATCGACAACACCCATCATAAGTAATGTCACGTTCTCAAATGAGAGCAAGGTGTACAATAACCGAACCAACAGACAAACTAACGAGCATCAAATACGTCCAGCTTTTGCCACACAAAGAAATGGAATATTTCTCAATAAGATCACTATGGCGACCATAAAACTTCCCCATAATTTCCATCAACCTGCAACTGTCGAACCCTTGTGTTACGAGTTTGTCAGTCAGTTGACGAGTTCTTGCACGAAAACCGTGATAATGGGAACAGGCCCATGGATATCGAATCAACTGTGACATGTAAATACCATAGGTTGAAGATGCAGGAATATTGCTATCCAGAGATGGAAATGTATCCCAGCATGCCTTTAAGGAAATATATCCCAGAATGCCTTTAAAGAAGACAACATCTGTGTCGTCGATCGAACAGAAGATACCTAGCTATCCATCCGAAACTTTTCAGTGGCCTCTTTGATGACAGTTATTTTGTTCTTTTAACCATTTCCTGTTATAATTACAAACACTATATTCTTGAAATATTTATTGCTTTAGAGACAAGGCCTCTGATTTTATTTTTACCCCCATTTTTTTGTATTTCATTCTAAAAAAAATCTTTTAGTATTGACCCCATATTCTTTATTTCATTTGATTTGTTTAATTGATGGAAATGTGTGTCGTATATGCCTTTCTATAATTAACTAAATACAATTTGATTTTCAAATTAATACATTGTAATATATCATCTCTGCACTTAAACTTAGATATTTGTGCCACATGTTATAGGTGATACCTCGAGCTTTAGCTTCCCTCTTGAGAACATCGTTGAGTGCTGGCGTGCTTGCCTTGGCTAGTGTGGCGTGCAGACTGAGGCACGTACTCTGTAAAAAGCAAATTAAAACTCGGATCATTTAATTCGGCTGGTCCGTTCATTTTAACTGGTGTAAAGAAGAAGTGTTTAGAAATTATTTTTCGCCGTTATGTTTCAGAGTGGCCTATCGTCCTAACATTTTGATATTTCTGTTTAACACTATCCAATGTTTGCATTCATGACTAGTTTCATTGTTTTTTGCTGCTGGCTCTTACCGAAACAAAGGTATCAATAATGGCGGACTACCAGTGATAGATGATCGAGTCGCCCTGCATGCTTTTATGACGGTATACATGTATCGTCAGTAAATTAACCGATCAAATATATATATTTTTTTTCCTATCGATATTTTTACCATTAGTATCGATATATTACCTTAATACCCGCTCCAGTGATTGTACACTGTTATCAAGTTACATAAAGTAGCCGACCAAACTTGTTTTGCGTTTGGAAATCATACCGTCAGTTTATATATATGCTTACTTGGGCAGACTGCCAGTTCGCGTAACTGTTACTGAAAAAGTAGCAATGTCTTCCGTGTAGCACCCATGAGTGGTCTGGACATGGCGGTGACAGGCTGCCATCTGCAACGGATAAACAAACAAATGAATATGGCTGCCATTCTAAAATCTACCGTGAATATACAGGAATACAAACACAAATTACATAGACTTTTCTATAATGCGAGACAGTCACTGGGGATATCTGGGGGTTTTTAACGTGCGCACGTTATGGACAAGCTTCATACTTAAAAGAATAAGAAAAATAGGGAAATGACCTTTCCGTGTTTCCCATAACATATGATAGATTTAGTTATAACAACATGAATTAACGAATATGGGTTTTTGACAGTTGAGGACATACACACCAGCTAGTGATCCCAACACAAACTATTTTGTTTGAAGAAAAACATGTTTGGTACGAAGAAATTTACAATTTAGAGAATCTTTTACATTATCAACATTGCAAGCCATCCCCACAGTCACTGGGCCAGTTGAATATAGGAACTGAATGAAATTCTAATATAAAATAAGTCTTCATCATGCTATGATTGGAAATAAGTTTTCAGCAAGGGAATCTCCTGTTTACTAAATGGTATATACATTTCATGCTGCCATTGTAAAATTATTAAAGTTAAAACTTTTTAAACTTGCAAAATTGAATCTCAATTTTGTAGGTTTAAAAAGTTTTAACTTTAATAATTTTACAATGGCAGCATTTTCAATGCAATCGAAGAGATATGACTTAAAGCATTAAATAATGATATGTGTTACACCTTACTTTTGATATTTTCTTGGAGTTCCTCAACCTCTGCGGACAGATTGGCGAATACTCTAGAGATATTGACGACACTCTCTGACAATTCATACATCTGTGTACTGTACATGGCGATTGCAGGGAGTATTGTTTCCTCTCGGACCTTTTGTACCATGTCAGACACCTCCTGTCGTATTCTCATTAATAGTTGTTGTTCCCGTCGAGCTCGAGCATTTTCCTCCCTGCGGGCGGCTGTGAGCACCTGTCCCTGGACTTGCCAAATAACACATAATGACATAAAAATTAAAGACAAATTGTGACCGTTCTTTGCCATCCTGCTCGCTATGTTTCACATCTCAGTAAACGTGCTAACACTCGGTTGTGTTTGTTTTTGTGACCTTGAGTGTTCACTTCTCAAGTATCGGCGTTTAATTGAGATGGTGTTACAAGTCATAAGGCCACTAAGTATGTATTGTTTGCTTATTGTGTGATAAAATCTCAACCAAGGCGGTGAAGAACATAAACCGATTTTATGACGTCATTCTGTCCGTCACCATTTTTCTGTTTAATCTCTGACAGTCATCAATAGGTTACATTTGATCTATGTATCCGGGTGTACTTCACTTCAGTGTGAGTCACTGTGACGTATTTTTTACCTGTTAACGACATCAACAAAAAGAAACATAATAATGTTGGTGTGTGGTCTGAAGATATTTCCTGGTTTATCTACGACTATTTCCATTAATGCCTGGATTACCGAGGATATCACGGTCGTTAATGACTATATGGCCGTAGAATTGAAGTTATCTGATAGAGACGGTGTAACAGCACAAATAGACTTGTGAAACATGAAAGACGTTTTAATATTATTTTGAAATTGTCGAAAGAATCACAGTCAGTCTGCCCATATTAGGAAAGTTTCTAGATAGTTAACTTTTTTTTGGGGGGGGGGTGGGGGAGGTTACTTTACTGCTATACTAGTCATTTGATTTTTTAAGAAAAGTTTTGATGTACTTAAAGTTGCACGTAATGAGTATGATGATTTAAACTATATTGATGAACGAAAAACAATTCTAACGATTCCGATTTATCGCATTAAAAACGTTTTCAAGATATTCATGTCAAGATGACTTTGTAGCAGGCGACATGTGGAGGTAACAGTTGACAATCGGGAGTTTTGTTTAATCATAATCACGATTTCAACTAATGCCACTGGGGCAAACTTGAGCACACATTCGCCGTTTGGTGAACCGAATAGTGCATTGGGCTGGCCTTAACCTAACCTTTATTACTAGTAACAAATATTGCATCATCCTGATAATTAAGACGATGGAGTGAAGTGCTCAATGCTATTCTTATACTTATTGCATGGCTACTATGACACTGGTTTATCTGTCAATTTAATCATTATGCTTTGCTCATATCAGAGATGGCTTAGTATATAATTGTAAAAAAAATTCAAAATAGATTATAATACAATGTGTAACTATGTTTGATTTCACTTAACAATAAAGCTATTCATTTTGGGGGAACAAAATGTCCGCCTTTGTACAGTATTATTTTAAACAGACCGCCTCTTCTAACTTTCCAATTAAAACAACGTTTTTGGCTCCTTTACTGTAAATCTGCAAATGTTTTAAAACTTTAATCATGTAGACGCCTATCAAACTATCTTGTACCGATATCTTCAACGCTTCTTATAGTCGCAGTAACAAGCGCATAGTAACTATATCATATTAATTGGATCTCTTGTAACGTTTGGGCAAAGTTCAAGTGGTGGCTTTGTGATAGTTGATTTGCGCCGTACAGAACGGGTTTGTGGAAGAGGACACTGGGATCTGAAATCTCAGGACGAATCATTACACATCTAACACTATCCTGTCTAGTTGATAAAAATACAATTATCGCCCCATAACAGCCAGGGTCATTTTGGGATGTTTGTAGTTGCTGGTGGTTATGCCATTGAATAACCTACGGAAGATCCGTCGTAAGTCATCGATAACAATTTGGGTGAAACAGCTCGCCCAGGGAGAGAACCACGTAAGCATGCGTAGAGACCGGTACGCTTCCCGGCTCTAAGAGAACACACGAATATGGGATGTCGAACCGCGCATCTCCGATCGAACACTTTACTGATTGAGCTGTATCAACTTGCCATTTATCTTCGTTAAGCCTTCAAACATTGGTTTCGTTAGTTTCGGAACGTAGTTTCACATGTCAAGAGTTATTTAATCTGAAACGAAATGTCATTTACTAAGTTTAAAAAGCACCAACAATATTCTCCTATGGTAACAAGTTTAGATAAAGATTTTTCCTTTTGTCACCTGATTTTCATGAAACTAGAGTCAGGAAGCTTATTACACACTTTAATTGATCTAACGGGCCCTTAGAGGTCGTCTTTTGGGTTTGATTATTTCTCAATTGTTGATTTAATCAATGAAATTTGTAAACCTAATTTAGGCATTATAATTTTTTATCTGTTATTGTAGTGTATAATCTTTGTTCCGAGAGAAAAAGTAGATGCGATTTATACAGTTGTTTCTCTCCCACCATTTACAATGTTACTAGACCTGGTTATTGTTAACTTGTCTCCAACTTGTATCATTACTTTAATATGCATAACTTTTCTAGTGTGAATACTCACATTGTACAAAGTCTTCCTTTACCTATTTCAGAAGATAGTCACATAAAAGTCTCCAGATGTCTAGAAGTGTAAATAAGTCACTTTTTATTTGTTTGTAAAATGTTGATAAAGTTAAAAATGTCCTTTTATTTTTCAGTGAAGGTGTTTACAATATGATTAATTGCCATTGTTAACAAAAATGTTTGACATGTACAAGAGGATTTTTTAAATAAAAAAGAAAACAAAAAATGACCGAAAAGCTAAACTGTATTGTTTTAGACGTGAAATACAATGTATATAATTAAAATACCAACAAAAACATGTAAACATGCTATCTTAGGAATGCAATATTCATTTGTGCATATAAACATATAAACATGCTATCTTAGGAATACATCTATCTGTTTTGAATATAATAATACTGACGATGGATGCTGATAAGAAATACTCCCTTATTCATCCATACTTATTACGGTATTACACCTTAATGTACACTGCATATAAAATAATATATTCCACAAAAAGAAAATTAAAACTAAAAATAGAAAATGGTAAATCGCGAGAATAATACCCGCGTAAGTAATGACGAACATTATGTAATGCCCGACAATGTTTTCATGAACATGTTAGTAGATTTGTATATACTTTTTAAAATATGTTTTTATGAATAAAAATAGGAGAAGCATTCGAACACGTCTTACGAGAAATCTGCGATGTTTTTATCATCAGACATAATTTCAGCATGCTTTTGACTATAGTTTTATTACATGCTGAGCTTACTTTATTAATAAAGATTCCAGTAGCAAACGGGAGTAACTTTTACTGTCTCCTACAAGTCTGTAATAGAGTTGTAGTGCTTTGTTTTCATTCCAAAACTTCAAATGAAAGTTAATACTGATGGAGATCCAGATTAAAATGAATTTGTAAAACTGCTTTCGAATTCAAATGGATTCAAAATGAACTTATAACTAATGTTGATGTGTTTCTAAAAATAAACAAAAAAATACACTTTGTGCATTGGTACCGACAACCAATTTTTTAAAGCATGTTCATTTCCCGGTAGGTCATTCGATATGACTCATTTGGGAAGAAACTTCATGAAAAAATCTCTCAATTCGCTGGCCTCTGGTCGTAATTTAGGTGAAAATTCCCACGAGCGTTTGATGAGATTTTCCAAATCCTCTGGAGGCTTGCTTGAGATTGAGAGCGAAGGCCGTAAGCCCTGCTTTACAGCCTTTTCCAATGATCCAAATAGATGCTGTTGGATATGCTCTGCTGCATCTAATCCGTACCACATCTCCCACAAAATGATGCCGAGACTGTAGATGTCTGCCTTCCTGTCGTAGACGCCTTCAGAGTTGAGGACTTCCGGTGCCATATAAACAGGACTTCCCACAATGCTTCCAGAGATGGCCTTCGCTTCTTTCGTCAAACCAACGTCAGTCAACTTGACGTTGTTCTTGGTATCAATCTGATGACAGAGAGATAATTATGACACAGCATTGTCGAAAACTTATTTCAAAAATGCCTTTTTATTTGAGAAGACTGCAATTGTAATATTCTAGTATGTTTAAACTTATTCTTCCGATGATGATGCATAGAGTATGACATGGACAAGAGTATTGCACCTAGTCCTCGTAGATGTTTGTTGACTTTTAAGAATGGTACTTATTGTTTTATTTATTTTCCGAATGTCTGTGTTAACACCAATAGTTCTCTGACATATACAGCTTTGAACAATAATAATTTATTGATTCTTACCAGGATGTTTTCTAATTTCAGGTCCCGATGTACAAGTCCCTTTCGGTGAAAGTAGTCAACTCCCTCGCAAATCTGTACGAAGTATCTGGCCATGTTCTCAATGGTTTCTACCTGTTCTGAGTAGACAGGACACTTTCCTGGGTTTCTGAAGTCACCATCAATGAATATGGATTTCAGAGTATCGGTGCAGTACTCCAGTACCATAATCCAATACACCTTACTGTGTTTTCCTGTTCCATCCATCCTCAATACTGCTCCGTAGTAGTGAACAACATTTGGATGCTTCAGGTCTCTGAATACAAAGGACAACTTTATAGAGATAAGAAATTAAAACGTCGTCTATTTAAGTTACACTGGACTTTTCTTTTTAAGATTTTCTTATCAGAATATGAGCTATTACAAACATAACGTCTTTTGCCATATTAAAAAGGAGTAATAAAAATTGTCTCTTTTTAAAGGAATCAGCAAGGGAGAGGTTCTTAGTTCTTAGAATACCTACTTTAGCAAACGTGTAGAAGAAAATAAAGTTTGTTGTCCCAGATGGAATCGTCAAGAAGGTTTACAATATATGCTTGAAAAGACATTTGATAGAGCTACTTCCAAAACGATAATGGAATTGAACTTCGGGTCTTTATTTGAGAGGCCAACCACCTTACCATCGGTTTTACCATCTTTTAAAACGCACAAGATTCTGTGCATTTCTAGGCACTAACCTGGATGTTCTGTCCTCCAGCAGAATGTCCGTCACATTGTTTTCTTTCAGTGCATCCTTTGACACCTTCAAAGCGACGGTTATAGGGGGTTTGGTGACCTTAAGCTTGGCTTTGTAGACGTCGGCAAACGATCCACTTCCCAGTAAATCCGCTTTGCTGTACTCTACATCTCTCAAGCGGAAGTCTCTTTCCATTATGGTGTGTACGAAGAACATGTCAAGCTGTCCTTGTAATGAAGAGCTGTGTCGAAGAAGTTTTGGGAACACGTTTCGCAAATTATCTTCCATGTTGTCCATTTCACTTGAAATTCTATTTATGAGCTGTGTATCAGCTTTGACGAATTCAGGAATCATTCTAGCAATGCTATCAATTCCCTTCAAAAATTTCCCGATGAATCGCCTTAGGTTTTTCTTCAATTCATCTCTCTCGAAAATGCTTTGGATGAATTTCTCGGTAGCGTCGGACATTTTAACAGCAGCTGAATCTGCTTTGTAACTTCTGAATATAGCTTTGGCGGTCCTGTCTGATCCGATTGATCCAACACTGCTGACTACTCCTCCAAGGCCTTTCACACCGCCATCATCCTCGTCTCCAGCTTTAGCCTTCTTCCAAATCTGTTTGACAGGGGCCTGCCTCTTCATTGATTTGTGGAGGTCGGTCACAGCTCGAGTATCGCCATCCAGTAATACACCTACCGACAGACAACTTACTATTTAAGCATCAATATATAAAAAAACTAAATTAATCATTCTGCTATATTTCCTTGTTCAAGTTCTCGTTTTTTTTTTTTTTTTTTTTTTTGTTTTTTTGTTTTGTTTAATTTCTTTGTTTTTGTTTTTTCACCGCTTTTAACTATAACACATTATTCGACCTGTTTGATCTATATAATATCAGTAACTATATAATATATTGTAACAATTCCATATATATGTATTTAAAAGAATGTTATCCTTTACCTTCAATCTGCTGAATTTGACTTTCCATAAGTTCGAAATCTTTCTTAAACTTTTTAATGATTTTCTGTTTGATGGTGGCTGTAATCTTCCTGTCTCTTTCCCAAATGTTGATCTCAGATGCTACGCGACTCGCAATTCTTTCGTTAGCTTCTGACGCTGTCCTATTCCACTCTTTACTAACCCGGGCGCAATCAGTCTCCGCCCAATGGAAAACTCGCTCAAAGAATTGCTTTGATCTGAGATAATTTGCTGTTTCTTTGTACAGGCTTTCAACCTCATCATCAAGTTCTCGTCGCAGTTCTGAAAGGCTGTACCTAGCGTCACGTTCGAGCCTATCCATCTGGCGTTTGATGTGTTCGATGCGTTCCTTATTCTTTTCCATTCCTTGGACTGCCATACCTTTTGCAACTTTGACAGAATACAAGGAACGCTTCAGAACTTGGGAAATGAATCTAAAACATTAAAAATGTAAATAATCATTGACATAATTGGAAACAGGATAAAACATGTTGGTTTGGACGAATATTCGTATAAGCCTATCTGGCATTTATATGTTTCCATGTACATGCAAATTATTTACATATCTGGAGACAGCGGTGTAGATAGCTAGTTAATCATGCCTCTACAAATAGCCGTGTGCGAACATTATGACTAGCAGCGCCCTTACCTATAATGAACGTTCAATTTGTTCCTCAAACTTGCTGGTAGAAAGCGCTCCATTCCTTGCAACATTTCGACGTGGGGGGCTGACATTCCACCATAGTCAGATGCTTTTTGAGACTACAGGTTAAAAATCAAAGTTAGGGGAAATGGGTTGAGTTCAAAATATAGCTTGAAATTATTACTATACATGTATCATTTACATTGAAAACTTTAAATTAATAATAAAAAACAGCGTTGGCTTGTGCCATTATCCAAGATGAAGCTTTATGCTTTTGCAATTAAAATTAGAGACGGGTTATGATGAAATTCATGATTCAATTACTTCAGCAGTTTTCATATTATCTGATAGTTTCCGAAGAACGTCAAATACAGGTGTATTAATGAAAATGTTATTTGCAGATTACACCAAAAACAGACCGATCCATACTTTGTTAACTGTCTTTATATAAACTTTATTAATTTTACAACAACTGCGAAACAAGTTATTCGAACTTACACTAATCACTCTAAGCACGAGGCGATTTACTGTGGAAAGACAGTGCAGTACATCGGCAAAACCATGTGATTGGGCTGATAGCCCCATACTTTATCAATTTTGTTCATGGAATCGAACCCAGGACGTCTAGGTTAAAGATGAGCGGGTTACCACTGCACCAACGACCATTGTTATTTTTCATGTGTTTTTACTGAACCATTTGAAAGAAATAGATGTTTATTAAATACAGTTGATACTGTTCTTTTTGTAAATCCTTAATCATAAAGGCCAACGATGGCAAAATGATTAACTTTAATCTTTTGTAATACACATATACTCTCAATTGTGATTATATGGTAAGGATTATTAGATAGAATACCTACATCTGTTACAGAGATGTAATAAATCTGGTCTCTCCGTAGTCCAGGATAGCACGATTCCAACTTGGTGAAAATCCCATCCGCAACTTCTGTTTTATCCCTGTCTGGGACCTGGTCCCACTTGTTACCGATGAACATTGTCGCAGAGGGATTGTGATCCTCCTCAGCAGCAGCCACATAGATTCTTAGGAAGTCACGCAACTGTTTAGATATGAAATGTTAATATAGTCAAATAAGGCTTTTATATGCATAATGCTTATGATATATTGCGTTAGCGACTATTTTTAAAGATCATCTCACTATTAAGGCCTATTCCCCATGGCTTCGAGTGGTCATATTGTGTGTATTTCAGAACACAACACTATCCACCAGCTATGAGAAAAGGCCTTATTATTCTTCATTAATTAGATCATAAGTTGAAACAGCATTCCTTTCACATGACTCCATACATGCAAACGTAATGACAATCTACACCTATCCAAAAGCACGTGAAAGATGGGTTTCTATATTGCTTTCGGGTGACCTCGAGGACTCTAGTGTGACCAGCAGTGGAGCTTTGCTAACTCGGTACAAGGTTTGATAAAACCTGGCTTTATAAAGGGAATCATATCGACTATCTGTCCCATGGAACTACAATAATAGAAATCAAACTGAGACTGAAATATATGTTGGAAGCCGGATAATTACTGTAATGGGTGATGCTATTGAGGATTAGTTAGGGAGCCAGGTTGCCGAGTTTTACGTATCAAGTGTTAATAAGTAGCGGAAACAAGGGGTGGATTAGGAAGAGGACTGTGTTGAAAAAAAGCAGTATGAATATTTTGATTTTACTGTTCCTTGCTAAGAATATTTTTAAATTCCTCGGCACCTTTTAGAGTGTTTCGTTTCGTTCACAATAAAACGTCTATATTTGTAAATTCGCTCACCCTTCCCTTCTGAACTCCTCCAGCGTTCGCGGTGTTTAGAATGTAGATGAATCCAAAGGACTTTGTGAGATACTTCTCAACTAATTTTGTCATTTGTCTCCGTTCTCCAATCCCAGGCGTGTCCACAAGCACGATTCCATCCTGTAACGAATGTTAAACAAGAATATTAAGAATATGTCCGTTAAACAATCATTTTTAAGATCGTGCAAAACACACACTAAAAAATTACATCTTTTACTACAAAGTTAGAATTACATACAGAAGATGCAAACAATGGAAAAAAACTGCATCACACTGCTGTTTTGTAGCTCAAGGACTCATCAGTAATGCTAGTTGTCTAAATTTGGAAGCCTTTGGTGGCGACTAAGGAAAATTTAAAAGGGATAACAAAAAAATCAAAACCTAGATGGGAAAGTGCACTAGCCCCATAATTCAATTGATAGGTTAAATCTACAGACTGTGATACTCTATAAGTGTAAAATGGGTTGCACGAATCATTGTTAAAATGTTAATTCCAAAGGATGTTTGTTTATTTTCTGCTATTTTCGACGATGTGAAATTGAAATACCGAAATATTGATAACCCAAGAAAAAGAATCAAAACTAAAAAACCTTCATGACCTTCGTGAAGATGAGTTGATAAAACCACGAATATTAAAACCATCGAAAGGCACATCTTTTACAGTATACAGATTTTGTAACGTCCATAAGATAGATCTCGATTAACATATCACACAACGTTTGCACACGGTATTTGATATGCTGTCTTCATGCTCGTGCAGTCTGTACAATGTACAATGTACAAGGTAATAACACTTGTTAAATGATCATAAAAGAATAAGTTATATAATAGTAGGGTTTTTTTTATAGATATACCCACTTGGCTTTTTTTTAGTGTTTTATTTATTATTGGTTCACAGCACGCTTTCTCAGATATCACTAATGAATTACTACAATGCATTGTGCATCATTTTGATCTGTCCAGAATAAATTTTAAAATAAAGAACACGATATATAGATAGCAAATAACTTACTTCGAGGGCAGGGAAGGGCCATGCGATTTCAATCTTTTCATATGGCGTTTCCCCATCTTCTTCGAAACACATTCTTGCTTGGACCTCGCGTATATCATTCTCTGTTTCCATGATTATGTCAGTTGGTGGTCTCTGTTTTCGTTCCCCCTCCTGGACTTTGTAGTGTATTCTGGCAACTTTTTTCTCGTCCAAACTTTTTCTTATTTCTACAATAGTCGTTGTACATCTCAGCTGTTTCGTAGGTAACAGGTCAGCCTGCAGTATCAGATTGAGGAAACTGCTTTTTCCTGCGCCTGTCTCGCCTATAAAACATAAATCAAACAATATAACGGAAACCCAAAAAGTGTTGTGATTTTTGTGTCATCAAGGGAAATAAGCCTGACGATAATTTCTGCGACGTTTCTGCTGGTTTATTTACTGATATCAAAGCCATTACTGAGTATAGAACACACACACACACAAAGAAAAACTCGAGAGGGATGAAAAAACGTAGAGGTTGATAATTATGTTTACAATGGAACTGCTTCACATTTTCAAAACCTTTTCTACAATTAATGTGAAACTGATAAAGTGTGTTTTAAATTAAAACGATTATATGAAATATATGAATTATGAATTTGAAATTTGGACGCTTTTATGTTGGAGAAAATATTAATATTCTGTGGCATGAGAAACTTACCAGCAACAAGGATGGTGCAAGATGGTGACGCTACTTCACGTTTTCTCTCTTCGACATCATTTAAAAGATTGGGGAAAACACTTTCCAGATCCCGACGGTAGTTGTTGGGAAGTGTGTTGACATATTCTACAAGCTGATCATAGAAAGATCTTAACTTCTTCCTGTATTGGATGTCGTTGGCAATTGCATCGTGAAGACCATTACGATCCTGTGAAGAAAAGAAAAGTATATATTCATTTTGGATTACGCCACTCAATGTTCTTTGTAATGTCTATATCGTGATAAGTGCCACTTGTCCTGTTTTAGTATAAACAATTGCTTCAAGTCACCCCTTGTTTCTTTTTTAAAGAGATGAAAACACACGAGCAGAATGTGAACGTTGGACAAAATAGCAGGAGGTGTTTAAGGTGATAGAGATCTTTGTAATCAGTAAGGGTTAGCGTGTCCACTGCCTACAACATCCCCATGGTACTCCAAGGTTTACTAAGGTCTTCAAAGTGAGGACAAATGCGTGTGTACGGATTGATCTAAGTGTAGTAGCTATTATCATAAATCGTTGATTCGATGTTTACATATTTTTTCGGAGAGATTATATGGTCATCATAATCTTCTGATCCATTTGAAGGCAAATGCATGTCCTAACAATCGATCAATAACGTATCGCAATTAAGTAAGCATTACATATATGTGAAATTATATTGGAAACATATTGCTATGGTATTGACAGTAAATTTGTGTTTGATGTATTATGTATAGGAGGTATATATTTAGCATGCATGAGCAGAACTGTGCAGACATCGACCATATCTTTCATGGAAACTGACAAAAACAGTTTCATATCATCGCGTTCAAAATTTATAACCAAAGCACCAATGGGAACGAAAACGTACATATTAACGTCTGTTATTGAAGTTAAAGAAGGATATGTCACAAATAAACCAAATATATCATTATTTCCTCTGTTAATTGTTTGACTCATGTTTTATTTGTTCCCTATATGAAAAGTAATAACTGCCTTTTTTCTAAATTGAGGTGTAAATGAAAAAAAAAAAGTTTTTTTTATTGTTTATGCTATTCTCGAAACGTTTACGTGTATCGTAAACAACTTCAACAAATGAAAGTAAAGAAATTGTTTTGATTTTTACAATAAAACTGGATGCTATATTATTTACCGTGTTTTATGTCTGATCTTAATCCCAAATTCCTGTGTCGCCTGCTGACTTTGATGCCTGGTAGTCCTGTTGTTTAGACTGAGTGTCACACTCAACATTCGAGCGCCACAGAACGTAAAAAATGGCTGGTTTCTAATTACGCAAGGAAACCATGATTTGTTCATTTTATAAAGACATTCCTAACCACAGCAGCCTCAAACCTTCACATTATGTAACCCTATCGCTATACTGTCTTTGGTTATCTCTGAAAAGAGATATGACATCAAGGACACAATGGTTGCTGGCCTTTGTGTGCAAGTCTTATTCTACCTTTTACTGAGTGATCGTAGCACAGATCTCTATAATCATCTCAATCTTTGCCAAATTCAGATACTTATCAAACAAGTTTTTCCATTTTGTATTTACTTCCTTATTTACAGTAACAAACAATTACATCTGGTCCAAGTTGTACAAAAAAAATGCAAATGGAAAGTATATTTAAATAAAAATGTAAATAACATTGAGATAAAGTAGATCCAGATAATGAATTAAAAATCCAAAACACACCTCTTCTAGTAGTGCTATGCCCTCAAATGTGTGGAGGAGGAAACAAGTGAATGACGTAGATTTATTTATTATTCGGCTTTACTGTATTTCATTCTAATTGTAAAAAACGGTAATATGTACACTGATAAAGGTTTTACAAAGTGTATAGATGATAAGATACAATATGATTTATCTATTTATTTATATTTCCGTTTGTGACCAGACCACGACAAGTGGTATAGAATGCAGCTTTATCACCAAGTCAAAACGCGTTTCTTTGTAAAACGAACAATAGTAGGTCTTGGTGTGCTTCGAAGCGTTGCACAGGTATTATCAATTTATGCAAAGAGACGAATAGCCACTATATAAAACATAATTTAGCAGATTACTTTTAGTTTATAGCTTACTCCAGTTCCTTCAATGAAACACAATGAAAAGCGTTATGGGGCATCGGCTGTATCGGATAATTGATATTTTGTGTCATGAATATTATGAAATCGGACGTGTTTGATGCTCGTTACTCTACCTGGTGGTTTTGATGTTGTTTACTTTGCTCTACTTTTGGAACACGACATTATTAACGTAGACTGACCAAGATTTACATGATGGGCGTCGTTGATTAAATAGTGATGCTCACTTTTCCTGAACATCTTGTCGGATTATACTTGTACATTTAAGGAGTCAACCTTTAAATCTTTCTTTTGTTCAGATATTGCCTTAGTTTCAACAAAATTGATTCTGAATTAAGATTCTGTTGACATTTTTGTAAGTTCATCGATGTTGTGTGATTTAACATTAATGTAGGCTAAATTATCAACGTTCACTATTGAGATTTGTGGTATTTTTCCTCTTACAGAAGTGAATAAGGAAAATTTCCAAACTTCTTTTACTCACTCCAAGGCAATGTGTATCATTTCACGAAATATTTGGGACCTGTCCTGAGTATTTCCTGTTTTAAAACTGGAAAAATAAACACACTCACGCACAAACAAATTACTACCTTCAAACTTTTGATAAATGTAACTCTACAATACGCAAATATGGATTATTGAATTCAATGTGTTCTTTAGCTTAACATCAAGGTAAGGAAAACACGCTTACATATTACATATTAACACGTAAGGTACGAACATTAAGAATAATACATTTTGGTACCAATTATCAAAATACATAAACATCTAAAACCGTACGTGTTCCTATTGATTTGAGCGGTACAATGATTGAGAGAATGTCTGACTTTTGTTTCCTTTGTTTGTTCTTGAAAGCGACGTGCATACGGTGTTTACATATAGCATGAGTAATGATAAAGCCCTTCAATCATGTTTTATCAATATGTGGTTTGCCGTGTATATTGGTTGAGCATAGCCACCCTTAACAGCTTCGAATCAATTACGGGCAATGCCATCTCTTGTCTGCGAACAAGACATAACTTAAACATGAACCAGGAAGTAATGGTGCTTTAGAACGTTCGAGAATTTGTATGTACAGTAAGAAAAAGCACTGGAAATAGTTTAGTAGACCCAGATAATGACTATAGTTTTTTTCCTCTTTGTATTCTTGTTCTTGTCTTATGAAGTAATACAATCTAATATAACAGCTCTTGTGATGTAATATACATGAGAGTCTCATCCTCTTTATAAAATGTTTCTTGATATTTTGCGCTTTTTTAACAACTCTAGAATTAATAAAAAATAATAATTAATAAATTTCTGTCCCCGACTGTAATGGTGCATTTGTCAACCGCGGTTTATATATATGTATATATATGTCACATCGGTTTGCATTAAAAATGTATTTTTCATTAGTTGTACAACGCGATGCGTTCTTGTGTCACATAAAGCTGTATACATCATCACGTGACACAGTCACATTCATGGGTGTGTATTATCATGTGAATAGCTATCCAACGACGGACAATAGTAAATGTACATAGCCTATAAATGGCTGTAGTGAGACAAGACTTATAAACAAAGATCGAAATCAATTTGTAAGCTATGGAATTCTACCTTGCATTATATTTTCATAAAAAAATCTATACTGTAAGAAAGTCACTTACATCAGAATTGCTAACACTTTCACACACATTTGAGTTCGATATTACAAATTATTTTTCCTCTTTTCCATATTAGTTCCCCTTTCAGGAGAAACAGTTTCACAAAAATGTCTTCCATTACAATTATTTATTTATTACATACGTCTTGTACATTTACATCAAGCCAAAAACTTACCTTTTTCGGCGCTTCTGTCGGCAAAGTTGACTCATTTTTCTTCCAGTGATCCATGATAAGTTCTATTGCCATGTTTTTGCTCTTCAGACCTTTGGTTCCAAGCCCCCAACGCTTGAGGATTTCCATAGCTGTTCTCATGTCAGGGATCTTCAGAATATCGTCCACGGTGCGAATTTTGTATGATTCACCAGAACCTGCCATCTTGCAACAAATTCCAATTCTTCGAAATTTACCTAACTTGTATCAATACAGCATCAATTACTGATCATAACTGATGACGTGCAAAAACCGCCTTAACACATGACTAGAATGTTCATTACACACAGGAATGTTGTATGACAGGCCAGAACTCAGTATGATCATAGAACGATTTACCCCTTATTAGGAACTTTTAAACTTCCTTGTTCAAATGTCTATACTTTGCATAGGCGGATCATGCAAACACAAATAGAGTGTCATTACGGTGTTGTCTGCATGATCCAATCAGGACTCCGGTAAAATATCAAGGTAAATAAAGTATTCCAGTGGTAACATTACTCATAAACTGTGAGCATATTTCTGTCAATATTTATTGCAATTCATATAATTCTGACGGAAATGCACAAAGTCGCACACCTGCAGAACGACCTCAATCTTATCTGAACCCACTCGTCCGTAGGTAATAGACAAAACACTGCTATCGTCTTACCATGTGTTGACTATGCAAATTTCGTACACAAGCTATAGACCTCGTCTTGTGTAAACTACCACAGGATATGCTACCCGTCGTGAAGTTTATACACACACATACCCGGAATTCTGAACAAACCCGCTGTAACTGAAGCGAGACCAGTCGACCTGTGTATTTATTTGACACATATATAAATAGTTGGAACACTGGTGTGTTGCTCTTTGGATTCAATGCTTTAAAGCTTCAAAAACAAATCATATTAGTTTGTGATGAATAAGTTATGACGTACTTCCAGTACCAGCTCTACCGTGCGAAATCAGGCAGTGAAATGTAAAATGACGATGGAATCGACATTGCACTGTAATCAATATTTCCGGTTTATGGAGGTGAATTCTTTCATGGAATTTTGATAAATTTCTTGAAGAAATAGGTGTGTCGGAATGAGAAATATTTTTCGATTCCAAATATAGGTATGATAACCCGAGTATAAAAAACAATATGTAAGGCGGTGAATATTCTTATGAGGAACTCATGAACTACGCTGATTATAACGCGTAAGTGTTGATTGCTATTGTCAATTTGATGTGTACTCATTAAACATCGAACAACTTCATACATCACTAGAATGACATCGATAGCAGCTGGTTTACACCCGTGGTCGACATCGTCTAGCGGCAGTGTAAACAGTGTGTGTAATGAGGACATCGAAAACGTTAAAGATTTCGATGAGGTATTCGACTTATCTGAAATAATGGGGGTCGACATGGGAGGCCTTGACGAGATCGATGACATGAAGGAGCGATTACAAATGCACCTCCGGAAGAACGAAAGCGGAAACATCAAAACAGTTGTAAGTAAAACAATGTTTTTTAATTGGAACACGGAAAGGAATTGTGTTACCACAAATGTTTGATATGCATGGTTAAAGACCAGGTGAGAGTGATATTCCTACGTGTTGTCATATAGGTCATATAGAAATATTGACTTGTTCATCAAACAAGGAGAGCTTTAACTTCTTCCATAATTATTTACCTCAACAATGAAACATAAAAAATCATTAATTAAATGATTAAGTAGAAAGAAAACGAGAAGAATGAAAATAATTGTAAAAATAATCTAGATCAAAAAGGGAATGTCTCCTCTGATTATTTACACCAGAACGCGGAACGCACGCCCAACTTCTACAACAATGAGTTCAAACAGTATTGAAATATCCTCATAACTCACAATAACAAACGGATGTTACCGTTTATTTCAGAGTGTATCCACCATTTCTAAAGTATGTGTAGGGACTCTCCATTATTTTGTATCTATTACTGTTTGAATGACATTGATAATTATAATAATTATATATATATATATATATATATATATATATATATATATATATATATTATTAATTAATATATAAACATATTGCAAATTTTGTCAATCAAATACTTACCAAACCAAATATAAATCTTTGTTAGATATAGTGAAATATAGAGAAATGTCTTATTTATAAAAGTGTTGATTTTCACGTGTGAAAAATAACACTGTCTTGTTATTTTTCAATAGTAAAAATTAATACTTTTACAGACTTACGCCAATGAAAAGTTGCCAACTGATAAAGCCCGGTACCAATAACACAGAACCATACATCTGAGTTGGGGTTGGGGTGGTACATATTTGGAATTGTAATAGTTATCTATAAGAAATTAGACTGCGGAAGTCTTTTAACCTTTGTATGCAATAATACCATACCCAAGCACTGTTCAACCGAATAGATAAATAAAACAAAACAAAAAACATGGCTCAGACGATGGCCGTTTTTCGAATAATTTTGCCTTTTATGACAGTCCAGTCAACCTGTTAGGACAGATTTTATCTGATATATTATCGTTTCATTGCATGCAAAAGTATAGTGCATAAAGCTACCTTAAGAAGTTCTGTAATGATTAAGGAGTTTTCCAACAATGCTTTGAGTCTTTTGTTCATCACCATAAAAAACAACACACACAAAAACGATTTTGGTTGAATGAGTTTTTCATATCCGTATCTACTCACACGGATGTAGTGTTATTCAAAAACCAAGGAATTTTTACATGTAAAGAAGAAAATTAATCTTTCAATGGATGAAAACACAGATTCGAGTGCAATGAATCGGCAAATGTCTTCTGTATCACAAGTAATCCATGTTGACGAACGACTGGGTGTCAGAAGTGATAAATCTCTCAGTAGTGGGGTAGATTGTTCTTTGTAGAATTTCTTCATATCAATAGACCGATTAGATTACATTTTATTATTTTCTTACGAAATGCACAGTAGTTGTTTTATATCAGATGAAATTGAAATATTTGCATATTTTGAAGATACATATGTCCAGATTTGATTATTTTTTATTTCCAGATTTTTAATTAAATGTTGGTCAGCTGTTGCCCAGTAATTGTGTGTAATGCTTTGATATTAAAATGCATTCTTAGTTACATATATAAGGAATCTATGTATACGAAAACTGTATACTTTTCAGTTCCAAGTGTATTTTTTTTTACTCTTGGAAGCATTTCATTTACAAAATGTTTTCCCTCTTCACAATGACATAAGACTATGACACCTTGAACATCCCGGATACGTAAACAATAACAAGAATAAGGTGTGGCAAAAATTATGTTTCCTTCTTTTAATACTGAGGTTACATAATACTCCTGTCTAGTTATTTACAGGGTGAGTGGGCGAATGCTTCAATTGCGTTCTTGTTCACATTATATCTATTTTGGTACATTGTTCGGTAGAGACTTAAAAACATTTCCAGGAATCTATGTAGTGTTATTATAAAGAAACAGTCACAAATCCGCATGTTTGCCCTATGATCTAATAGTCAACAGTCAATGGAATTGAAAGAGGTTTTCGGAAACCAATATTAGATATTAGGTGTATATATTATTATTTGTCACGGTGTAGAACTACACTTTAAATCTACATACACCCACCACCATAAATGAAGGTAGCCATGCAGCTTTATCAATGTTTACTCATTATCAACAGTTACAAACGTTTGAATGACGCGACAAAATCAACATGCCGTATTTTAAAATATGTCTACTGATAGTTTATGTCAACTTTCTTGTATAATAATTAAAAAGTTAGCAGGGTATTTTGACGTATAGACACATATATTTAATCCAATTACATTCGCGTTCAAAACAAAGATCTCTAGGTATAGTGAATATTTTTATCCTAAACGGATAGTATGACAATATCAGTGTTCTATTGCCAGCCTAGCGAGAACATAAATGTTATATCCCAGACCATAATTTTGTATTAATTATGTATGTTGTAAATTGTTATTGCATAAAATGTTATTCGAAATAGATTTTATTATCAGGTAAAATAAATAAACGTGAAAACGGAGAAGGATATTCACTTGGAACATTAATAAAATTTATTTAATTAGCACAAAGATCTCGAGGCGACATGTATAGTGAACAACTTTGTCTGAAATTGATGGTATGACAATGGAAGTGACTATAACTATCCTGGCGTGTCTGTGTTCTAACAGTACAAATTGTTATCGCATAAACTGTTTATTGAAAGATATGCTATTATCATCAACATATAGATCCACATGAAATCGGTGCTTCCACTTGGGCTCATTTGCATTTTATTGTGTCTGTACAGACGATTAGGATTTCCCATATAATTAATCAAAAAACCGATGGAAAACACGCGCTTGTATCAATATGTCGGCGAGGATAGTTCATAATGAATATAGTACTACATTTTTACGGATGAATTTGTAACTAAAAAAAAACAAACTTGACTTAATAGGGTTTAGTTTTTTTTCTCCATCTTAACGTTCTATTTTTAAAAGTGAAACCGAATATTATTTTTTAATCTAATAATAAGGGTATTCCTGGAAAATGAATACACGTGGATTACTTTACAAAACTAAGTAATTTCTCATATGTATGATATGTATTGATATACGAAATATAAAGATAAGTAAGAAAAGATAAGTTTATTTCCGGTTCAGGACGTGCTTGAGTCCTCTATACCAGACTCAATAATACATGTTAGAGTTTCAAGATTATAATAGACTATAATAGATAAATTAAATTAATATGTGCCTCTCATTAGCAATGTTTCTTATACAATTAATTCAATAATAGTTAAGTTATTTCAGCTCTGTAATTGAAGAAAAGTTCATGATTCCCCCAGTAACGGTCTAACTCATTTTTAAACATATTGATAGTTTTTGCAGTAACAATATGGTCCGGTAGTTTGTTCCAGATTGATGCTGATCTTACGGAGAAAAAGTTCTTGCGTAGTCGAGTTGTAGCTCGCTTTGGAAATTTTTTTTAGAGTTGACTCGTCGACTGTGTCGTTGAGCAGCCTCATCCCATAGTTGGACTGAGTTACAGCATTCCCGGTCATACATTCCGTTGGTGATTTTATAAAGCTCAATGATTTCTCCCCTGACTCTCCTGAAGGCTAAAGTTGGTAGGTTCAGCTTTTCCAATCTCTGGCTGTAAGTAAGGTTTTGCATGCCAGGTAGGCATTTGGTTGCTCTTCGTTGAACACCCTCTATTTTATTAACATGTTTCATCAGGTATGGTGCCCAAATGGGGCTCGCATAGTCCAAGTGAGAGCGTACTAGGCATTTATACAATGGGATAATAGATTGTTGATCCATAAACTGAAATGTCCTTCTGAGGAGTGCAAACAAATATCGTAACAGAAATACTGAAAACACGTAAATGGATATAGAAAGCTTTTTCCGGTCGTGACTCTTAATTTTTCCAAGGAAAACAATATGTAAAACCCCCTTTGTTGATTAATCATCTGGACTTTAGTTGATATTTCCATCATTGTTGTCAGAATCCAAGATTATTTTCGTCTGAGTATACCTTAAAGCTATATGAGCTATAAATACGCTTTGAACAGATATGATACCTTGAAAACATGCAATATTTATTTTAAAACTAAGATACTTGATACATTCCATACTCTTTTTTACATTTGTTATCCTTTTTTTCAGACGGTGAAATATTTAGAAGGATGGGATGGGTGAAGATTTAAGATTAGTTTACGATTCGAACGTAATATACACCACAGAGATAAAAAAAAATATCCAACATATTGAAAAAATAACTTCACTTTGGGTAAGCATTGCACAAACAGATTTTACATGTCAGTGACTTCTGTACATCGACAAAGCTATCTACAACCAGTCAACATTATCTATTTACATTACTATTCACACTTTTATATACTAGGACAATGCGCCTTAAATCACGCCTTCTGCTGGGTTATACGCAGTATTACACTACTTCCTGGTTAGTGCTAAACCTCGAACTAATTAATGATCTGACCAATCCTATTACATTCATAAGTAGTCTGGAGGAATTCAAAAGTACATCAGTTATGTGAGGCATTCATACCATTATTTACAATAAATTGCAGACAATGCCTGGACTGTTAAAGATATTTTGTTCAGTTGAACTCTTGATAAGTTGATTTACATATGAATAGATTAATGAATATTCTTTAAAGCAAAAGCTTTTTTTATTCCTTCGCCATGTTATATAGATAACATGTGTGATAGAATAATAAAGATCAATGATGTAATTATGTACATAACGGCTAGTTGTCACATCTGATTAAAATATTTTTAATGAAAGGCTTACAGATCTATAACAAATCTTGATATCGATTTTAGCCGAAAAGACAACTCATATATTAGGATTTTTGTCATGAGACAATTCATTACTGGTGAGGGTCAAAACCAGGAAGGGGAGTAAAAAACTAAAACGTACTTAGGAAAAACTTTTATATGAAAGAAGCGGCAAACATCATTATCCACTCAACTAGGTAAACTGAATATTTAATCAATGTGAGATACACGGTTATATTATTTAGACACGAGATATACCGGGGTAGCGTAACAGTATGGGGGGAATATCTGGTCTATTAGTATAACGTGTAAACATCAAAATTCAAACGGTCGGTGTAAACAAATTCTGTAACTTCATAATCGCTTCCTGTTTAAAAAACCATAAATAAACACAAAAGATATCATTTCAAACTGAGCGTCACAAACTGGAGAAACCGGTTTAGTTAACATGACGGGAGAGTTTCTAAAATCAGTTGAACTTGCGGTGAGAATTAAGGTAGAAATAAAAACAGACGGTAACAAGTCACTTCATCTTAACTGTTCATGTGTTTTCGTGAAATCTTTTCGTAACAAAACATGTTAACTAAGAGGGCCTCACATGGTTTCAAAATAAAACCAAGTTTTTTTCCCTTTTTCGCTCAATAATGAAGTTTCAATTTCTCAGTTTTGACTAGTCGTGTTAGTGCAGGCATAAATAAACGTGCATGTCTTAACATTAATGGCATAAGCATGTTTTAATGATTTAAATTGTTAAAACGAAACTGATAAAGCCAGTAAAGAAAAAAATAAACAATGTCAAAACATAGTTACAACGTCAGAATTCATAACCATGCTTTAAACGATAGCCAAGAGGGGAAAGACTACAACATTGGAACACAGTCGATAAACTATTACATACACATTGTTCGTCGCCTACTACCACATCGTTGTACTTCTCTTTGAAGAATTTCAAGTTGAAATTAGTTTATTCGTGTTAATTTCTAATTGTTGATAACTAAACAATTACATGGTAGTCTACGGTGTTTTCTTTTCTACAGTGATTAATTCTCGTAATACAGTTTAAACATCGTCTTTACACATGTTCTGCATTAATATCATTCCTTTCTCTCTTCCGTTTTCATCGCAATGGCGGCATTTCCGGTTCCTGTTTTGTTCTTGAATACTTGCAGTATATGAGTCTGTATAAAATCTCGATAAACATGGATTCTGTAGGCATATATAATGGGATTCACTATAGTATTCATAAAAACAACCATACTTAACCTTCGTATTGTATAACGCTGCTCCAGTGTAAATTCAATCGTTTCTGATGTCAGAATTATAATGGAATTATACAGAACGTACGGTCCGAAACAGATTATAAAGGACGTCACCAAAACGATCAGGGTTACATAGGGTTTCCAGTGATTCGGTGATCCTACACGAGAAATATGCTGGTGAATACTGCCGGATGTTAATGACGACGTGGTTCCCACCTGTTTTTTCCGGGGCTGAAATGTGACATTTCCAGATGTCGGTGCTAACGGTATATCTTGAAATGCTGATGTTGATGGTGTTTCATACGTTGATGACAAGAAATCTTTTCTAGATGATGTTGACAGCATGGTTATATCAGTTTCTGGTGTAAATATGGTATTTACAGATGTTGGTTGTAGCAGTTTGTTTGAAGATGCTGAAGTCCTTGTTGGATTTTTTGCTGTTGCTAAAGTGGTCGTTTCTGGGTTAGTTGTACTCGTAAGTAATGCTCCTACTTTTAAGGACTTGTTTTTATTTTTTGTCAGATCATTTTCAAATGATTCATTGTTAACGAAGAATACTTGTTTTTTCGCCATATCAGAACTTTTCGATGCTATGTAACCTTTTCCTTTTGACGTTCGGTTTTGAGATTCAGGATGTACGAATGTGTTCTTTGGGGCAACAGGTGTTATCCGTTTCGTACGCTGAACAATGGTTTGTATAATTTTTGCATTAAAACCAATCATCAACAGACAACCGACTAAATAGTGCACGCCATCTATCATATATAACACATGTACGTGTTTACCGAAAATCCTGTCATTACTACATTGGGTTCCGCCTGTATCGTCCTTATTCCCATGATGAATAAATAGAATTATCGATTCCAGTGCACAGTAACTCCAGCCTCCTAGTATGAATATTCTACTGAATAAAGTCCCTTTGATCCATTTTGTGTACACAATGGGATGGACCACAGCAATGTATTGTACGAATGATGTTAGAACTAGAGTATATCCCGATGTTATTATAGAAAAGTGTGCAAAAACTCGTGGTATAACACAAGCGACGTAAGGAATATACCTCCCATCTTCTAGATAGGTATACACAAACACGAGCACACAGTTGACTAACCAAGAAACATCTTTCATCACGTCACCGATGGCCAGGTAAAATATATATATGGAGTTGGCGTTTTTCTCGAGACATTTTCCTAGATAAGTGATGATGATTACACTTATGTTCATTATTAAAGAAACCAGCAACATGAATAAAAAAACACACATGAAAATAAAGGCTTGCTTGTCGGTGTAAACGTCAGACAATTTCAAAACCGTAGAGTTGATGTATCGGGAAGAATTCAAACCAAGTTCCGCCATGGTTCGAGCTGTACTGATGTCCATGTAGTTTCTGCGTTTCACACCTTGGTATTGTTTCGTCACCGTTGGCAACATGGGTCCTCTTTCAGTTTTAGCGAAATATTAACGTAATACAGAACACGAAAATGTTGGGAAGATTAGTACTATTACGTCATCAGATATGAAAACACAAATACGAAGAGACAACCCTATTGCCATTTGCCCTGTTCAGGTCACAATCTCTCAACATCAAATCACACAGCGAAAAAAAAATCAGCACTACCATCCCTTCCACTATTGCATATAATTGTAACACTAACGTTGAGACAAATCGCCTTGAACAAATGACTAATTGTTTGCACTTCATAAATTCGTAATATTTGAATTTTTGATAAAATGAAATGAAATGGTTTCATAAAATTCGTAAAATGGGATCAATTTTTATAAATTCTAAAATCGGAAAATGAGAGGATTTATCTATGTATTAATTCTTACTTTATCTTTTACATATGTATCTAATTTAAGTATGTAATTATATAGCTTATAACGTTATTTCGATAATCACCATATGATTAATGAATTTTACATTAATCCCTTTTCAAAGGGCAATTCATTATATCTTTTTTTCCCAATTATTGTAGTATGAGATCGCTATTTCAGCATCGCTGACGACACAGAGAAGGACGAAACAGCTGCATGATGCAATCTGTGTATTTCATTATTTTACTACTTTATAAAGCTCTAAATTTGTTTTGAACCCAACTCTTCACATGTGTTAATTTTTTACAATCAATTTCAGGGGTTTGCTGTGTGCAGCTGTATGCCACGTTCACATTCTTACAAAAATGTGGCAATGGTATCAACCTATAGCATATTTCTCTAAGATCATCATGTTATAAAAATCATTGATTAATATGGTACTTCCCTTCTTCCCTGCATTAATACATAATGTACATTTGTTTTGGTTGATTTCGAGCCTCTTAGCGACTTAACATATTGCCACAGGATTCGCTATATCGAAGGAAAGTCTTTGATGGACGAAGCAGCTCTATGATGAATGCAGTTCCATTTACGGTCTGGTATTCACTATTGTATAACTAGAATCATAACCTTAGTTCACTTTTTTCCATGTGCGTCTGTCTTAAACACAATGCATATTTAATAGCTTTATGGCTCATTGAGACGGATTGTTATAATACAAGAATTTTTGATAAACAAATTAAAACTGGTCATTCATGGCCACCATCATGCCAATTTAAAGAGAAAGTGGGTCAACCTGATCCAAAACTCCTCTGCTTTTCCCACTTCATAAGCAGCGTTTCAGTTGACTGATTTTCCTTTCTAGTCTATACCAAGTTGTCACTTTCGTCATCGATCAATTACTACTGTAGATACCACCAAATATGGCAGAACCATTCTTGTCACCCGATATACCATAAGCTGAATAGAAAATCAGGTTCATGGCTTCGTAACGTAACTAGAGAAGTATGAGGAGCTTATATATCGGATACAGTAGTGTATTTCTGGAACATTCTGGAACATAGATCGAAAAATGAAATCAAGTGATAAAGCCTACTAGGAACCCGCTGTAACTATTTCAGCTAACAGTATTGGTATGAAAGATTAATGGTTCCAGGAAAATAATCGCTCTATATCTTTATTGATTGGGGAATATCAAGGGCGTTTATGCTAAAACACTGTTCGTTTGTAATATGACCTGTTGTTCAAGTGTTTCAATGAAAACAGTTTGTATTTTATATTAAGCACTTTTTTTTTTTTTTTTTTTAAAGCATGACGATTAACTTCAAATACGGTTTTATTGAAATTACAAATAATCACAATACAATCGATAAGCATTGTTGACGTATTTTACCGAATTGCTCTGGATGGTGTATAATGAGCTGTTTAGTGAGGTAGTCACAGCTACTTGAAGCAGACTTCGTCTCGGTAGAACGCTCACCACGTGGCAAATAAACCTAAGGAAAAACTACTAATCCTTTTTTTATTGTTATTGAAATTTAATTTGCAAGTTCTATCGAAGTAGATTTACAGTTACATGTATATATGATATACAAAGGGTTATATTGTTAAACAATATCATACCATTATTATTCAAGTATACGTTGTGTTAGGGGAAAGATAGTGAATTGGAATAACGGTAAGTTAAGTATACACATACAAACAATGGGTATTGTAATGGGGTTTTACTTTTTATGAATAAAAAATATAATGACGAGGTTTATTTCTCTAAACGAGAGAGGGATTTTACAATTCATGAGCAAGTTATGCTATATGAGAGTTTTACTGTTTATAAGTGACATTGTATCGTTTTATGCCAGATTTAAAATAGGAGACATGGATATATTGGTGTTTAATAATACAGACGCTATATCGAAGTTACGTTGTATGTTAATAAATCTGCTTCAGATCACAGAATCCATGGTTGATACCCACAAAGAAGACTGCCGGAAGAGGGATAAGATCAGACAAGTCCTCGGTGATTGTCGTCGTACCTTATCCGCATTCGAACGCCCCGAACAGCCCGGCAGAAAAGGCAAACGAGGTAGTCATGCAATCGAGGATCTGTTGAAGGTAGAGGGCGCTGCAAAAGGATTCGAAATAGACTTCAAAGAAAAAATCAGCTCTTTAGAGAAGGGAGAATGTGTCATTGTCGTATCGGGTTAGTTCTGATATTCACGATTCGTTTTCAATTTTGTTTCTAAAAGAAAAAAATGTAAAATGTCATCATTGGTAACCAATGGTCCTGACGCTATGAGCGTCAGCTTCACAACCGTGGGTTACCGACGATGATTAGAAGCATGAAATGCTCAACAGTTTCTGATGTTAGTTTTGTTTATTTTTAATTTTTGGATCGTTTACCTTTCTCTAACGAAATATCAATATTTGTCATTTATTGTTTGTAAACCTTCTGTTTATAAATAATCCCTTGCTTAAAACTAATTCTTAATTTACAAGAGCCTTGATTTCCTAAATCTTACTTATTGTAATGCAGGTGAAACATCAGCTGGGAAATCAAGCGTGCTTAACCTCTTATTTGAGAAAGATGTACTTCCGGTTCATCACAACAGCTGTACTTCCGTAATAACAAGAATATCATATGGAGACAGTTATCTCTCTACAGTTATCATGAATTCTGGAGAAGTGAAAACTTTTACTGACCCAGATCGGATTAAAGAGGATTTATGGGAAATGATATATGTAAAAGACGAAGCAGGTCGAGATATGGTTTCCGATATCAAAGAAGTAAACATGAAAATACCTGCACCTATCCTTCAGGTTCGTGCACAGACAAAATGTTGAATATTATAAACTGACTACAATTAATTTATCTGAGCAGAGGAAATCAATTAAGAACTTTGGCCAGTTTCGTTTCTGTATGCAAAATAAAAATGTTCCGTCTCGACCTTTTCTTTTTCTGTTTTTATATGTAAATATTGAAAACAATAGAAAACTGATAGAGAAATTTTAATGGTATAAGCTGATTGAATTTCGAAATGGTCTCTTTGGTTGCAGTGTGGAGTGGTATTTGTGGACTCGCCTGGGATAGGCGAAAACGAGGCCATGGACAGCGTCATCGCTGATTACGTGGAGGCGAATGAGATTAATGGATTTATGTATGTAATCAAGTCCGATAACTCAGGGGGCGTTGAAGAGGACAGAGTAAGTAGTTAGGGAGTGAATTATCAAAAATAGAAATGAGAATTATAGAGCTGATGACAAGATTTTGTTACTAACGAATACATTACTATTGAATGTTCGTACATGTTTTGATGCTGTTAAATATTTCAATTTTGTGAGGTAATTATTTTGTTGATTGTGGTTTGTCCGACATTTCGTCAGTAAGATCTTACCATGGAATCCCGTCTCAAGCTACTAAAGATTAAATAAAAGCCCCTTGAGAGTGTGCGATTTGTCACCATCCTATTCTATTGTCGATACTAGAATAATTTTAATTCACTAACCGACGATAATTTGATATTCTTTTAGCTGATCAGCCTAGTCAAACTCATATTGGAAAAACAGAACAAGAAAGCGGAGGAGGGAATGATGCCTTTCAACCCAGAAAGTGCCATCTTTGTTTGTAATCGATGGGACCTTGTAACGAGGGATTCGAGCGGGCTAGTGTACAATAATGCTGTATCGTTACTTCGGGACTGCTGGCCCGGGCTTGAAGAAGAACAGATTATACGTTTTTCGACTTTTCGTGCCGAGATGGAGCAGAAACTAGACAAGGATTACGTCACTAATGAGTACAAGTTTCTACTGGAGAATATCCGTTATATCTACACTAGGGCCGTGCAGAAACGAATAGAGTCAACCTACCGGTAAGTTTAAAAATCTTTATGAATATCTAAAGGTTTCATACAGGCAGGTAGAGTTATGTCGCGTTTGAATTCATTCGAATAATTGCACAGTTTATAACATACACATGTACTTTTGTAAAATTACTTTAATCTAATTTTTATTTTTTTTTAATCTTATTTCAATTATGGGGCCATTGCACATCCCCATCTACATTTTGACATCTTTCATCCACTGTAGACTTTTGGACATCAGTCGCCTTCAAAGTTTTAAAATGTATGCCCTTGACATCCCTGACGAGTCCTAGAAGGACGAAACTGCATGATTATGCTTATGTAAAACGTAAAAATGTGACATTACCTACCAGGACTGACGAAGATGTAAATAGCTGATGTCGTCACTAATGCAGAAAACGCTTACTCTTCAGGGACGCCTGGTCATATTATCGTTGTACTTTTTCATGAGTAAATCTTTCTGTTTCCCTAGTTTAATGAATTTGATTTTTGATTATGACTATGATTATGGTGTTTTCTTGTTGTTTTTGTAACACTGATTTCTCTGTAAAATAAACATTATGCCAATTGTTTTGGATGAAAAGACCTCGTATGCTATGATTGTGTTCGTTCAGTCATGATTTGATATCTTAAAGGTGGATCGAAAGAGTGCTTGCCCGAAGTGTTCACCATCTGAAGACCATGGTGAAGCGACTGGACTCTAACGAGCAGTCCATGGAAGACAAGATGGTCCATACTTACGAAAAATTAAACCATCTCAAACAAAACTCAAGTGCAGTACTCGCTGAACTCAAAGTGAAAGTTCATGAGAAGTATAGCATGCTTTGTGATGAGTTCCGAACAGAATTTAAAAAGCATGGCACACGGGTTGCATTGACACAATGGATAAAGTCCGAGACACCAGAAGTTGAAGACGGTCAAACATGGAATGATATTAAGGAGGAAATAAACGTAAGGATCTCAAAAAGGATTAGCGATGAAATGATCCGATGGGAAAAAGAGACAGGAAATTTCCAATCCATGGAAGATATGGTTGTCAACGATATTAAAATACAGTTAAGGTTCCTACAATATGAGCTTGAAGCTATTGAAAGTGAAATTCAAGACAACGAATCAGTTTCACCGGATATAATGTACACAGGACGCAGGCGCTTAACCTTAGGGAACACCCAACAGGTGTTCAAGGTCAGCCTCGATAATAAAACGCAAGATATTCATATGCCCGTGAGACTTGCATCCAGAATTGCACCGCCGGTCACTTCCTTCATGGAGAAGGTGAGAAAATCTGTGCTTTGGGATCCAACTGAGAAAAAAATACAAATATACCAGAATGACCCGTGTAAAGTCATGAAACAACGAACTGAAAAGTTATTGAACCTCCTGGTAAGCCACGGCAAAAACGACGAAACGCTCTTTCAGTATATCAGAAGCTGGATGAACAGACCAGTCTTGTACCTGGAACTGATAGAGAAAAATATCCCCGCACTTATTGATGCAAATGAGCAGCTCTTGGATCACGTGGCCATGTGCCGCGTGGATGCTAAAGAATCACGTGCTTTGTATGAGAAAATGATGGAAGGACTTGAAAATCTGAAAGTCCATCTCACGCAATATGGCCAAGGACATATCTTCGTGGACGATTTCATGAATGACCAAATACGTGTTCGTGAGGACATCAATATCGGCACAACAGCCACTTTGAATGTGTCCGACATGATCCTGAATACTTCGTCTTACCGGGAAGCTAACAGGTAACACGTGATCGTTACTTATCGATTTGTAATTTGACAGTCAAATTAATTTACACGATCTATATACTATATATAAGCATTGCAATAGCAGACCAACCGATTACTTAAGATCTTTTGAAAAACATTAACTCGTCAATTCTTCCTTACATGCACCAACGGAAACATATTGTTTGTTCAATTTGTTCCTTCTCCGAAAGCAATGATATTTCTATGAAGTAAAATAACTCCCCTAATGTTTACCACTGTATTCATGCTCTGCATGAAGAACTTTAGCAGGTATTCAAATGTGAACAAGGTGAATGGCTATAACTAAGCAGCGTTTTCTTTCACCGTTTGCATATTATCCAATTAATAAAAATGAGAAACAAGCAGATGTAATTCATTCTGCAATGTGCACCTGTTCCATATTGTTTATCGTCCATCCAGAGGTCGACTATGTAATTGCTTTTGGCACTCCGTGAAGACTTCATCGTTCATCACCCCTCCACTCCCAGCCATAATTCTGTTAAGTTCATAATATATTATAGATATTTCTATAAGTGTTCATTACGCTGGAAATTACAGAATTATTATAATTCGTGTAAAACTGTATAACTGATGTAATTGGTCTTTACTATAGACACAAAAACACTAAAAGTTCACACGCACTAATATAAACTCTCGATTTCAGGAGATCACTACCGCGGGGACTTTGGACTGCCCTACAGTGCGCTTTCCTGAAACGAGACAGACAAGATCTTTCAGTGACCATCAAGATTTACCTACAGTCGGCTGGCGTAGAACAAACATTCCCTGAGGTTTCCAAACTCAGGTACGTATATTATGTAAGGGGCACACGGTCCTGGTATCTAAACTATAAGATACAGATAAGATTTTAATGATCAAATGTTTTCACTAATCAGTGGTTAAATCTGAACCTTCGAGCAACTCGGGCCAGGTGAATAGGTCGAGGCATTTTATTGTTGAAAAGGAATAACATCGAAGTCAAAGTCATTCAATTTCACCAATATGCAATTAGCGTTGTTTACCAGATGATGCGTTTTAGGCCTTAATTATATTATACTAACATAAAGCGTCTTTTTTTTATAGATTTTTAGAACATGATTCCGTGGCGAAGTTTTTGGGGGTACACCACTCCGATTCGCCTTCTCCGGCATTTGTGTATGACAATCATCTCAAATCTGTGAAGCGATACCTAAGGTCTACGCTAGCTAACATCCGAGAAGAGACGGAGAGAATAGTGTACCAGACGGCTTCCGGTCTCGAATATCTCCACCGGAAAAACTTAGTACATATGGAGCTCAACACTCAGACAATAACGGTAAAAATTGATCGCTATCAAAATCCATTTTAGTATGAATTGAATTCCTCAAATCATCACGAATCACACTTGTTTCTTTGTGTAATAATACTAACTGGTATTCTTTTCGGAAAGAAAGAGTCGTGAAATGTAATAACAACTTAGTGAACTTAATCTCAATTTTCTGATCGATAGGTTGATCCCGACGGTATGGTGAAGCTGACTGGTGGTTGTTTACCGCGGTGTGCGTCATTTCCGTTGGACAAAGAGAAGGTGCAGGTGGGTGACTTCGTGTATTTGTCACCTTCAGTGCTGCGAGGAGAACTTTACATCTCTGTATCTGATGTTTACTCTTTTGGACTCTTCCTGTTGGAAGTTGTTGCAGGAGTAACTGCATATGAAGAATTCCGGAAGTACCCTCTGGATCAGTTTACTACAATAGTAAATCCGACAGTTATGTTAGATTTGGAAAATTCACTATCAAAATTGAGTGTTGCAACAAAGGATCTCATCTGTCGGTGTTTGGATTCGTCAAAGGATAAACGGCCCGGAATGTCTGACATTATCGATCTTGTGTCTACTTTAGGAAATGATGTGAATGTTGTTTCCAACAAATCGAGGCGGCATAGAGCGCCAGTAAACAGAAACAAACGTTGTTCTATAGATACGACTATGTCCTGACATGCGGGAGAGCTTGATCCAGAATAATTCATTATGTGACAAGGTGTCTAACAAATTATGTGTTCCTTCCAGATGGTGTGATGTTTCGGTCATGCAATTCTTCAACACATGATAATTTGAGTCATTTTCTTGATTAAATTTGTTACAGTTATCATGTTTGCTTTACACAAAGAATCAGACAGCTAAATGTTGCTTTCCGCTCTCTTTTGATATGAATATATACTTTTACTAGAGTGACATTTCACAAGATATCAGTATTACGTGGTCTTGGAATTAAAAGGAACTGTATTTACAAATACAATCATCTTCTTTCTCCATAAAGCATCGAGGGAGGGGGGGGGGTGTTGAATCTACCGGATTAATGATTACATGTGATTAGGAAATTCCCGCATCTGATGTATTCTATTTATCTTAAGTTATTCAAGTATTACCATTGCCATGGCAACTATGTGGGCTTAGAAATGTCTCTTTATGTATGAACCGTATATGTCTAGTCTGTTGTGAAGTCTGTTGCCCTCAATTATTGACTAAAGTTGTTGTTCTGTAGAGATACTTTATAACTTACCAATGGCATCCAACATTTTAGATTCTTTAAATTGCACATGGAACATTCACCATTGAATTCCGTTTTCAAGAGTTATAAGGAAACAAAAACAACTGAAAAGATAAAGAAAGAAAAATTTTGCATTTTATATTTTGTGCGTTGTCATGTCCAACAAAACGAGTAGTTTACTAGATTTTTATCAAGCGTCTCGGTAAAACTTGTGAGAACGCAATTGCTTTGTTCATAATCACGATCTTGTGTCTTTGAAATTTGTGTTCTATTGTTCAACATGTCGTCACAAACCATCAAGTATCTGGGATGTATGCGATTGCTCTTTTCACACTACTGTTCCATTATGTGGCACGTTGTCTCTTCGTAAATTGTTATCCAAGAGATCCTTTAGCCTTACGTTCCAAATAACAATGTAGAAAGCTTTGAATCAAATACTCCAGTGATTATGAATCTTTAAATCTTGCGCTTCAGTATCATTTGATGACGATAAATACATCTGACATAACAAATCATGCCTTTGTGTTCATTGTGATTTTTAATACAGATATATGAAATTAAAATCTTTGTATAAACTTGAGATGTAAGCAGACACTGGCTACTTGGGTATTTTATAAATCTCGTTGTGGGAATGATTTTTCTAAAACACGTTCGGTTCGGTTTCATTTTGAGGTTATAATTAATGAATTTGCTCAAAATTGACGTTTTTACATCACCAGAGATGTATTGGCATTTTACGTCCCTGCTGGAACCAAAGACAATAAACTATTTATTTAGATATATATATGAACATTTAGTTCAGCACTATTGCAATTAAGTTTATTGTTAATTTCAAAGTAATAAAAATATTTGTAAAGTGAATAGGACTTTTTTATTTCATTACTTTGTTTAACGAGTTCATATGCTGAAACACAGACATTCAGAAGTGTGTGTCGGTAGTAGGAAAAGTTTTACACTAAGTATCTAGCATTATATATACACCCTGTTGACAAACACAATGACTTTTGTTAAGGTTGTCATTCTAGGTTCTTTTGTTTTGCGGAGGGACTATAAGTAATAACAACTAACTAAAAAGTCCCTCCAGGGCTTCCGTAAGATTGCGTTCCATTACATTTGTGAAAAATGCATCTTTTAGCAACAAGATTTTGATGAAAGCTAAAAGTTTGAAAAACGGAGAAAAATTATTTCTGTGATTGACGGAATTTTTCGTTTAAAAAAAAACCCAAATGATTACCTATCATAGTATGAGGGCATCCTGGCTTACGATATAAGGTGGACAGGAAAGAGCTGGCTTCATCGTGTTGTTTACGCAATATCAAAGCACAGTCTACTTCATTTGCAAGTCTAAGACTTACACGTTAGAAGTCTAAGGTCGAACCTAGGGTTATATCTAATCCATGGCTAAGGACTTAATCACGTCTTAGTATAAATTAACAAATTCCTTCGTAAATAAAGCAGGACCATGAGGATTTTAATTCTAATCTTACAAGAAAGAAGAGCACCAGAAAGTAAACCCAGCTTCATTATTTTATCATAAACACAGCATCAGTACTTTATCATAAACACAACATCAGTACTTTATCCTAAACACAGCTTTAGTACTTTATCATAAACACAGCCTCAGTACACAACATCAGTACTTTATCCTAAACACAGCTTTAGTACTTTATCATAAACACAGCCTCAGTACACAGCATCAGTACTTTATTATAAACACAGCATCAGTACTTTATCATAAACACAGCATCAGTACTTTATCATAAACACAGCCTCAGTACACAGCATCAGTACTTTATTATAAACACAGCCTCAGTACACAACATCAGTACTTTATCATAAACACAGCATCAGTACTTTATCATAAACACAGCCTCAGTACACAACATCAGTACTTTATCCTAAACACAGCTTTAGTACTTTATTATAAACACAGCCTCAGTACACAGCATCAGTACTTTATCATAAACACAGCATCAGTACTTTATCATAAACACAGCATCAGTACTTTATCCTAAACACAGCTTCAGTGCTTTATCATAAACACAGCTTCAGTACTTTATCATAAACACAGCTCCAGTGCTTTATCATAAACACAGCTCCAGTGCTTTATCATAAACACAGCTTCAGTACTTTATCATAAACACAGCATCAGTACTTTATCCTAAACACAACATCAGTACTTTAACATAAACACAACATCAGTGCTTTATCATAAACACAGCTACAGCGCTTTACCAAAAACACAGCTCCAGTATGTGATTACAGCTACAGTATGTGATTACAGCTACAGTATGTGATTACAGCTCCAGTATGTGATTACAGCTACAGTATGTGATTACAGCTACAGTATGTGATTACAGCTACAGTATGTGATTACAGCTCCAGTATGTGATTACAGCTACAGTATGTGATTACAGCTCCAGTATGTGATTACAGCTACAGTATGTGATTACAGCTACAGTATGTGATTACAGCTACAGTATGTGATTACAGCTCCAGTATGTGATTACAGCTACAGTATGTGATTACAGCTACATTTCGTGATTACAGCTACAGTATGTCATTACAGCTACAGTATGTGATTACAGCTCCAGTATGTGATTACAGCTCCAGTATGTGATTACAGCTCCAGTATGTGATTACAGCTACAGTATGTGATTACAGCTCCAGTATGTGATTACAGCTACAGTATGTGATTACAGCTACAGTATGTGATTACAGCTACAGTGCTTTATCAAAAACACAGCTTCATTATGTGATTACAGCTACAGTACTTTACCAAAAACACATGTACAGTTCCTTATAAGAAATATAGCTGTAACCTTTCATCATAAAAATTGATACAACTGAAATAAAGATAATAATAAAGTGAATGAACCATCCACTGATCTTAATAACAACTCAACATGGCGTGATATATCTTTTATACTTCTTATTGATAAATCTTATTTTCTAATTCCTGTATTCAATGCTTAGGACATTGAAAAGTGTATTCATGAAATATGACCCATAAAAAATCAGTACAGACTATCGACAGTACTGACTTTGATTCATTTACGTATCATGTCCTCCTTTTTTCATAATTCCCTAACTAGAATTTAAATCGCGTGTGAGAAGCTTTTCAAATTATTCTCAAATGATTTAAGACCTATTACTTCTGCAAAAGTTATATCAGGAACGTTTCAAGGTCACAACTTAAAAAGGGAAAAAGGTATGTTTATATTGTTAGAGCAAGAGTAAATATCTTTTAAAACTTTAGTCGTATTTGATACCTCGATTTCGGCTGTGTTTAGAAATTTATCGCTGTAGTTCATTACAAATATAAGTCGAACCTCGTTATCTCGAACTCGGTGGGACAATGGGAAAAATTAAAAGATATAAGTGATTTCGAATGTTTTGTTTAAAGTCAGGCAGGGGCTGAAGAAATACTTCGAATTAAACGGGATCTTTGAGCTATACGAGTTTAGGATAATGAGGTTCAACTCCATATGAAATCAAAGATTATCATCTTTTCTGCTTAATCTTAATTCGGATTTCGTGTCTTTTCAAAGATTTTAGTGAGTGTTGTGATAAAAAAGATCATTTGTAGAATATTCAAATCATCATTCAAATTTAACATTTTCAGACAAGATATTAAAAGAGATACTTTAACTGTGCTATCTCATCATAAGTTAAAATAGATTTCTTCATCAAACATGGCGTCAGCGATGTGTTAAGGTTTAAATCTGTGACAATGTGTCGCCCTTCTTCACAATGTCGCTCACTTAGCTTCAGTCATATCTGTCATTCCTTACAGGTTAAGTAAAATATATCTATTTTCGCACAGTAATTTATATTTATGTGAAAACTTTGTAAGCCAATTTTATGAAGTAACGATGCATGATATTTATTAACACTGTAAACATTTTGACTGTGTATTAGCAGTAAATATCACCAGTTTACCGTGAGTGGAAATGTCTATATCTATCAGTTTCACACAAATTGCGTCATTATTCAATTAAGATAAAACGAAGATTTATATTTTTTTCGATTTTTATGTTCATTTAATATGTATACATCGTGTGTAAAAAACAGGAAGTAAGTTAATCAGCTGTTTAGATTCTACCGCCAAGTTTAAGGTTTGGAAGGAATTGCAGTTTAAACAGGTTTAATGTCAATTTGAATAGATTGTACAGCTTAACATGATTGTTATGCAGTTTGCTTCAAAACCGTTGGTGTATACATTATGGTTACCTTTGATACGTGTTAACGATTAACAGAAATACAATACTCCTTAGGAGTGGAAACCTGATACTTTGTACCACCGTCTCTTACACTTACTGGCGCGTACTTAGGGCTCAAAATGAATTTCAAGTCGATTATTTGACAAAAACGTCTTTTGACCTCGGAGCATGGAACTATTTTTGGTTTTTATATCTGTATTACTCGTGTGCAGGTAATCACACAT